TTTATATTTGTTGATTGAATATTTGATTTGGCTGATTTGGAGTTTTGAATCTCTACAATCTTCATCCACGTTCCATTGTATACACACTGCAATTTGGGGATTTTAGGGTTTATTAGTCTCTATATAAATCTAAGGTGCTTATGCAAATCGAGAATCAACCACAAAAAAATTTACAGATCAGTTGTTATACAAACCAGGCGAAGCTACAGATCGTTATGGCTACCCCCAAATCGTCCATCATCCACGGATTCAACAAAGGAACAAATGTCATTTCAGATTATCGGACTGCTGTTCCACAGCAGCGATTGCCGGAAGCTGCCTTTTCTTAAAGGAAAGTGCTATTCCTTTTCCACTCTGAATCGAGATCTGGATTGAAGAATGGTCCAACAAAAAAAAATTTAGTTAAAAAAAAATCATGTATAATTTTATTTTATTTTACGTAGTAGCCCGATCTGTAATCCGGTCCTGGATCCGTCCCTGAGTGGAGGAGGGGGTGAAGAAGATGAACAATAATTTTGTTATTTCTTTTTTTTTCTTTATAATCATTTTAAATATAAAATACAAAGTTATAATTTTGTCCTTAAAGAATTTGGTCAATTTTGGTTTTTTTGGTCAACTAATGGTCAATTGGACGGAAACCGTCCATTTGAACTCCGGATGCGAATTGTTTAAAGGTTTGGTACCGTGGGTGGTACAAAACAAAGGTTTGGATAAAGTTTGCAAAAAATGTGAAATGTTTGGTACCGTGACGTAATTTTCCCTAAAATTATCCACAAGAATATGAAGAAGAAAACGGGATCTTTAGGATGAAGTTTCTGAGTATGTGGCTGTAATTTGATTCAAGAAAGTGACTAAGCAAAGTTTTCGGGGATATTAATTACCATCGACATATGGGCACTATCTTATCACATAACAACATTTATAATAACTTGCAAACGTGCATTGGATTTGCACGTTTAACTACTTTGTCACCCGTCTCTAGTCTGGGATTAAAAATCCCAATGACGATTGTACTTTCGACCTTGTTTTCCAACTGTCTTGGAACTTTAAAGTTTTTCGAAGAGCCAAGGTTGGTGTATCGGCGGTGGGTGACAAACACCCTAACTCTCACAATAGGGGGCCCACATTTTAAAAAATTTTTTTTTATTCATATGGGGCCAGCCATCATGTGAGAGTTTGTCAACTTTTTTGTCAAATAATTTTGTACAAGTAGGATTTTTCTTTTTCGAATGCTCATTGTATTTTCAATGTTGTTTTTCGTCTTTTACTCTTGCCGTTTGATCATTAACGATTTTGATGTTGTGGTAAAAAAAATTATTATTAATTTTTTCAAATTACAATGGTTGGGAAATAAGTTTGAAACTGATAAGATTTGTGGTTTTATCTTAAAAAATCAATATTATTAAAAGGAGTAGTCCAAACATTTATAAGTTGGTATATGTTTTCGTCATTATTTGATGTGAGATTTATTACTTAACATGCTCTCCCACAAGATGGTGGTTTGTTTGATCAAATCAATCTTAAAATTTGCTTGCTAATTTTGTGAGTTTTAATCGGATCAATTGCTCGTTGGAGTTTAATGGATTTTGATACTGAATTAAGATTTGAGATTTCATCTTAAATTGTCAAAAGAGTAGTTCAAACCCTTATGAGTTGGTCTATTTTTTTTTTTATCTTTATTCGATGTGAGATTTATCGTTTAACAAAAATTACAATTACTAAAATTTGGAGCAACAACTTTAAAAGTGCAGTTTAATTCTTTCGATCGAGAAGGCCAATCTTGAAATGACAACAAAGAAACAAATATTTTCGTCAAGGGTAATGCAAAACTTGGATCATTCTCTGGGGAACATACAGTTTGTTTCAAGTTTATTTATTCATGCTAGTAACACCATGGGGAAGTTTACCCCCTAACGAAATGCTAACATACAGTTAGTTACCCATGGAAATTGGGTGATTTCTTGAAACAAAAACGAAGTTTAGTACAAACGACATTAGACTGACATTACAAAACCTCTTAAAATGGACATGGGCTTGTATAAATCACAAAACTTGGGCTGGCCAAGGCCCATGGATGACTGTCCTGGGCCCAAGAATGGATTAATGGATACTTACTGTGAAGCCAATGCTGGCATATGTCCTTCCACTTGCAGAAGCACTAAACATAAGTGTTTTCTAATCTTTCTGGGTGCCATCCACATAATAACATGAAATTCCGAGTGACCATTCAGACAAATACAGGTGCTTTTCCATGCTTCTTTTGTTGGTTTAGTCCACAGGCCAATTGTGTCAAATTCTACTCTTGCAACATGTGATTCACAATTATAAAGCATGTAGACGTTAAATAATACTGCGTACTAAGAACATCCTCAGTCCTACTTTGTTGCTTGACAAATTAAAAATAGATTTCAACTCCCAATATGTATGTCTACGATTGTATGGCTTGTAAATCACCAACGTGAACCAATGATCGAGATGGTTCATTTAGTCTCCAAAACGAGTAATAAGGTTCAAGTATGATTTGGAGTTGACCTTATCTGCACTCGTTAGTCCTTTTCCGTACGATCAACCCTTCCTCATTGGACATGATAAAAATTTCTCACTATTGATGTTGTTAAAAAATCTTACTTATGGTTATATCGGCGTTGAGAGTAGGAAATCAATTTCTTCCGTATGATTATATTCATATTCTATCTTACTTTTTTAAAAGGAACATTTTCGTAGCATGTTTCTCTTTCAAACACGAGGATGAAAATTGCATGTCATTTCTCGTTACATAAATACAAGTTCATATCCTTATTGTGGTGTGATTATGCTAATAATGATGATGACGCCTTAAGAAAAATCTTGAGGCAGAATTTGAACAGTAGGGGAAAGCCCGACGCAGCGCAAGGGCTCATTGCAGATCGGGCATAAAGCATGAAATTCTGCCTAGCTAAGTTTGATCAGAAATTCAAACAAGTTCGTTCAATATAAAATGGAAAATGATATAGGTACAGGGCCACATGGACCTCTTGTGATAGGTGGGGAAGAAAAATATGGGCCGCTGTACGTTTAATTTGGTTCATATAAAATTCTTGATCCAAATGGGGTGCCTGATTACGTCAGCACTGATATCTTGTCGGACCCATCTCCATTTCCCAGTCTCTGATGAAGTCTCTTCCAAGTTAATTGAGCTTCCCTTGAATGATTGATAGATACACATCTTTTTCTCTCGCCAGAAAATCTGGGATTTCCTTAATTTTTTATGAAAATTCTTTTTTGTTTTTCATTTTTATAAATTTTAATTCTGTTTTGCACCTTGGAATCAGCCAATCCTGGAAGTCACATCCACAGATCTCGTACATGGCGACATCTCATTGGTTGACATCTCCCGATAAATTTATATCCTGTAGCAATCATACAGTGTAAAACTTATGAGTAACGGAAAAAATAACCACTAGTAGGGATAAGAAAATTATATGATTAATTTATTTTTTATTCAAATATGTTTTTAAACAATAAGGGATTCATCTCTTCGTATTTCAATTTTTAATTTTGAGTTTTGAATTCATTTTTAATTTTGTATTTTGAACGTTCATTTTGAGATTGATGAAAATGCGTTCTTTTTATCATTTTGAAAAATTATTTAAAAAAAATGAAGTTTTAGTTTGATTTTAATCGAAAACAGTCAAAACGACTTTTTTTGTTTTCTTTGTAAATTTTAAACTCGTTTTTGGAAATTCGTTTTTGAAAATAGATAAGTAAACGTGTTTTCAATGTTTTTTAAAATTGAAAATTGAAAATGGCATAAAAACAGTAAAGAGAACCGACCCTAAATTTTTGTGATTTCTGATATGCATATACAAGCACACAAACTCATGTCAATAATAAAAAAGTTAAAAAAAAAATCCACGTAGAAAGCAAAGGGCATATTGAGTAAATCACGAGTCCTCAAAACTCAAATATTACAAGAATCTTTAACTACAATTAGCCGCTGTTTGGTAGGGATTAAGATTTTAATCTAAATCAAGATTAACAATTAATTTTAATCACATATTTATAACTTTTTATGGAAGTCTATTAAAACTTTTAACAAAAAACTTCTCTTAAATTGCCTTTCAATGATTACCATATTTTCGTTGCTTCCACAAAAGAAGATTACTTGTTCAACTTTGTCACCCATGCACGAGAATCTCCAATGGACAACTTCTGGTTTAACTAATATACAACTAATTGTTAGGCACATGAACTAATAGGGGACTAATCTAGACATAACTATTTTTTAATATATTAATTTTATTATAATATAATACAGTACTGTGGGTTGTATATCTGTTTCATTATGGGAAACAGCAAAATCAAACTAGGAAATTGTAGCGGACTCTTTAACCTATTTTAATAAAAAGATTTGACGTACCATGTGATTGTTACTATGATAATTGGAGTAATTATACTGATGAAACTGGTAGTTGGGGGCCTGACCCTGGCTCGAAATTGATGAACCCTCATCTGGTGTGGATGGCTCAGATTCATACTCCAAATTCACCCCAAACAACCTTAATTTTCTCGAGTTCCCACTTGGTGGTGTTTTGTTCTGAATTTCTGTCCCTGCAATAAATTTAACATATGATTATTGTACCAATAATTTGGAACAGATAAAAACAGATAGGGTTTGTGAAATATAGTGCAAAGAGCAAGATTACCTGCATGAAGAGAGTCAGGTAGGTATGGGGGTGAAGATCCTTGAGGGTGTGATGGATAAGGATATCCAGGGTAGAATGATCCGGTCCACCCACCATGACCACTACCAGCCACCGTAGGTGGCTGAGAAACAATCCTGTCTTGCCCTGCGCCGCCGTTTTTCCGCCTCCAACCGATGAAAGTTCTGCCGAAATCAGTCCTGTCGCGCTGGAAATGAACTATATCGCCTGCATTAAGTCTTTTTTCCTTAACAAAACGGCTCCACCCTTTTGTGAGTACATAACTTTGACTACTGTTCCAATAAGAATAACGGAATCTCCATAATTTTCCAAGCTCGTCCTCGAAGCTTAGCAGCAACCCTTTTTCTCCCGAATCGCCACCCTTTAAGGGAAAGTTTTTTTCTGCGTGTTGTTTGGGGATAACAAGGCGGTTTAGCTTGCCCACGTCGCTTGGCGTCAGTGGTTTTTCGAACAAGGGTTCTTTATGAATTTCTTGTTCCTGGTATAATTGGCCTTCTTTTTCTTGCTCTTCGTGTTCTTCGCCTTCTTTATTGGTTAGATTGAAGCTGAAATTAGAAGTGTTTTTGTTGCAAAACATGGTGTTTTTTGGATACAATTGAGGCTGAAACATGAAGTTTTTGTGCTTTGAAGATGACACTTTTGCAGGCAATTCCATTATGTGGTGGTGGTGTTGTTGTGCCCACCAGATGGCTTCTGGAAAATCTGAAGAGAGATGGTTCATTGACATTTTAGATGTAAAAACTGGCTTATGATAAACTTGAGGGGGGCCTATTTGATAGAAATGTCAATTGTGGGTTGGGGGGTAGGGGTAGGGTAGGCAATATATGCAAGTAGTTTTAAGGTTTTGCGTGATAGAAAAATTCAATCATTATATTCAGTGCCAAATCCCCTGTGAAAATTCGGTTGCCGAATTGAAAAATAGTATTACTGACTTGGACAGAACATGTGTATTCCTGAATCTTGAGAAGAAAAGAGACTGTAGAGGTGAATAATATTATCTGAAACCCTCCCCATGTTACCATGTTACTATGCTGGCTGACTCACTACCCATCCAACACTTGGTTTTCAGTGAATTCATGTGAGACTAACAAATTATATAGGATTAATCTATTTTTTCATAAGGAAAATGACAGAAAGATTGACTTGTATGTGACAATAAATGATTGGGGTGAAAAAATTGATTGTTTTTTAAACTGTTCAATTATAGAATACCATGTAGCATTACGTCAAATATTATTTCAAGACATTTGATACTATAATATGATCATGGGCGGAGCCATGATTCAGTGAGACGGGGGCTAGTGAGTTAGACAGTGGGCTATTGGGTTGGAGAAAAAAAAAAGTGCTATAATTTTTTTTTTTTTTTTTTCTAGTAGAATTTGGCTTGGGCACCCCTATCTCCGCCCATGAACATGATTGAAATATATATCAACATATGATCTAACTCGTAATTGTCAAGGAGTACTGAAAATGTTCAATAGTTAATTCATTTCCTTTGTTAAAATTTAGATTTCTAATAGATTTTAATAAAATATGTGATTAAGAAGTTGATATATAAAAGTTTTGGACCAAGATGTGTAGTTAAAGTACGTTAACTTTAACTTAAATTTATAAAATATTTTATGTAGAGCAAATAGGGACTTAATAGAGAGACTATTTTTTTTTAATTATGTATTCCTTTGTTGCCCTGCCTAACACCGCTTGGAAAAGGGAGGTTAATGTAGGTGTGCCTCGATGAAAAAAGGTATGCACCTATTTGTTCGATAAGTGATATTTTCTTGTTTGAAGTATTTCCTTAACAAAAATACTCAATCATAGCTAAAATTTAAAAAGAAAAAAAAAAGCCCGACAAAAAACTCATCCTAGCCCAGCGGCCTCACTTTCTTTCCTCGCAAACAAAATATTTTTCATTTGGATATTTATGATTTTGAGAATTATATTTTTGCTGAAAAAAATGAAAAATATGTATGAAATTTCTATAAATTTCAAGGAATATGTTATTTTAATTATTTAATGGTCTAAAACAATTAAAACAATATTAAAAATAGTAAGTCTTGAGACTTGACTTCTAAGCCTTTTTTAGAATGTTGATTTGTACAAATACCTAACGCGAACACTAAATCTATTTAAAATTAGGTAGAAACTACGAAAAATGGAAAGTTTTATTAAAGTTGAAAAAATGTTGACAAGCACATGTTGGTCCCATTTTGATAGAGCTAATAAAAGTTCATTGTTAAACTTTATACGATATTCAGATCATTTGAATAAGTAACGTTATTTACAACCAGTTACTATCGTAGTCGCCCTACATGACATAAATGTACCTGTTAGTCATTTGATGCATTAATTTGATAGTTTTCTATTGTCTCATACATCAAATCACTAACTGACGCATGTATATAATGTAGAACGACAACAGTATTGAACGATTGCAAATAACATTATTCATTTGAATACATTTATGGGAAATGAATTTATTAATGAAAGCATTTGAGATGGGAACTTAGCCCCCGTTTGGTGCATATTTTGAAGATTAGAATGCATTTTTATTGTTGATGTGATGGAAAATATGTTGTTGAAAAAGATGGAAAAATTATTGATGTGATGAAAAATATTATTTTATTGAAGAATGTGTGGTTGAAAATAAGTAGAAGAATGAGAATGAAAAAAATAATGCGGACCAAACAGGATCTTAATTTTGTACATTTTCAAATGGCATTGATATTTTAATTATTTAACCAACTTTTTGTATTCAACATTATATTAGCCAATTTAGGCTGGACAGTGTCCCACACACTACAAGAAAATGCAACTTCAACTACCAATTTATTTATTTATTTTTTAAATTTGAGATATCAACAACTAAATTTCGTTCATTGCAAAACTTATTACTGATACACTTGTTGATAATATATAATAAAAATAAATAATTATAAATTCTGTCACAAAATGAATGATTGAACGTTAAAAATACATGGAATTTTCCCAGAAATGTTACAGGATGCTGCTGCGGTAGCATCAGCAGCATCCTGTCCATTTGTATTTTTTTATTTTTTCCCAAAGTTTGAATTTACACTGTTGATTTCAAAAATCTGTAAAAATTGGTAAAAATTCCATGTACTTTATAGCTCCACTCAAAAATATATTAGGCAATTCAGGTTGGACAGTAAATAACGTGTCAGCAATAAATTGATGTTTGGACATTCCTAAAGTTGAATTATTGGAAACAGTGTGATGTCTGATAAAATAAAATTAATAATCCATAGAATCCTTCCCTTTCCAATAAGCCAAGAGATGGGATAATATTTATATATCCATACAGAAAGAATTGCAGACTGCACTTTTTCTTGCATATTGCATTCGTGTTTCAATTCTCTCCTTATAAATTTCTTGATATTTTATAATTTTATAAAGACCTGACGTCGACTTCCAGGTACGTTACATACATACATACATATATTAAGTAATTATTTGATTAAGAAACTCTAGCTATTGTTGGACCATACATACTAAAAGTTGGACCAGTAGTTATCTAAGTACATGTAGAAAAAGCATATGATTGAGGTTGTTAGGCATTGTTAGGCATATTTAATACAAATCTTTATGTTCTATTTAAATCGAGAGTGAAAAAGTTACGTGAAAGGAAGATGAAACGTGTTGTATTGTGTTATAAAAAGGGTTTTTTATGGTGACGAACAACATTCTAGAAAATTGACTATAAAAGTATTATAGAGAGAATAGACGATAGTTTATTTAACGTAAAAGCGAGAATAGACAATAAAAAAATGAGAAGAAGAACACACTAATTTACGTGGAAACCCTTTTATGGAAAAAAAGCATGGATAGAGGAGAAGAAAATCCACTTTATCAAATATGAGTACAAGAGGGTAGTGTTTTATCGACTACTCCGAATAATACCATAAAATCCTAAAATATATACGTGTGCGTAGGCACGCGGTCACCACAGACCCCAAAAATTCTCTTAATTTTAATTTCATCATAGATATCATCACATCACGAGTTTTTTAAATCGAACCAAACAGAATTCTTGTCATCATACTCTTAACATTTTATAAATAATTGATATAGTCCACTTGACAACATGAAGAGTACAAATCAATATTGATAATTTTTTATTTTAATTTTGATAAATTCTTTAAGTATTCAATGATTATAAAAAGTTGAGAATTGATAATTAATTATGAGAAAATAAAAATATCGCGATGAAATTTACTCAATTCGCGAGGTATCAATATTAATAATTAAAAAAAAAAAAAGAATATTTCCACATATGATATGGAGTTCATCGATTCCTCAAATGAAATAGGAGATCAATTTGTGAGGATTTCTTACTCAAGATTCTGTATTATAATATGTCATCAGAATCAAAACCGAAATTTCCTAACAAAATTCATGTTAGCTGTCACTAATAATTTATTAAAATAATCTATAGTGATTATTTTAATCACTTAGTGTTAATGTGTGTTCAGATTGTAGCAGTGCAAGACCAAGAACAATGTACCACCATCCAAATATTCATTCGTATCCCCCTTTCTTTGAATAATCTTATAAAATAATATTCATTCGTTAGTTGGAGTAAAATAAACATATTCCTTGCTCGATTAATAAAATTTTATCAGCTTTTCAATTGATCAAATTTTAATTTTAATTACATATTTCACGAGATCCACAATTTTAATTGACTTTTTAACTTCATAATGTATCCTTTTTTTTTTATCGTCTGTATATTATTGGTAAACAAAAAGTCACGTAATAAACCAAAAAAATTGACTAACTTAAGATTCCAAAACCCATTTAAATAATTAAACGTGATTTATATATGTCTTTCATTTCCTACTTTTATTATTGCTTATGGTTAATTGTCTCCTTAATCTCTTTTGTATTTATGGTTATTATTGTACATTCTTTATTAGCTACCATCCAGGTACAATAAGATTTTAGTACAAACCTAGTATTTCTTTTATATAATTTTGCACCGAGATACGTATATAGAATAAGTTAATTTTACGAATGGTAATTGAAGTTCGTGAAAAAAATTCATAATAGTTAGGAAAGTATTTCCGTAACACATTTAGTCACTAAAGTTAAATAATGTAACTTAATATCATGTGTAGAGCGTGTTGAACCATCACATCAATTAACGAGGATTGAAGCCATTGATTCCTTCTAGTCAACTTATTTTTGTTTTGTTTTATTGTTTTTAATGAAGGAAAATAGGTTTAGGGTCAAGAGACGATTTGAGATACTCTAGATGAACGTTTGATTTTCTCTTATGAATTGCATTATATTTTGAAGATCTGTAATTTGAAAAATGGAATTTGTATTAGATGTTGCTTGAACATTGTAAGACATGGACCATCGTTTTAGTTGCTTCCCATTGATGAATGAATTTTTTTATCCCATTTGATTTTATCTTATGAATTGAGTCATATTCTGAAGATATGTAATTTTACTACATGAACACGATTCTTAGCTAATGAAAAAAGTTCAATGTGCCAATATTGAATTTGGAGCGAGTGTTGCTAAATGAGAGATGAATTATTTAGCCCCCTGTTTGGAGGAGATTAAATCAGATTTTTAATAGATTTTGATAAAAATTGATTAAATGTATAGTTAAAAAGTTGTGGATTCCATAAAATGTGCGGTTAAAATTAATTGTTGACTTTGATTAAAATCTGAATTTTAATTTATACCAAACATGAACTT